CCCTCTGGTGATTATCTTGTATACTCGTAATTAATGGGTGATAATGGAAAATCAAAGAAAATTAAGGAATCCCCGTCTGCGCTATCGATATACGCTGGTGGTGCCCTAATGAGAGATGATAGGTGATGATGAAAGCAGGCCAGTTAGCCCATCGTAACGAATTCCACTAGAATTAACCACGATGGTTTCCAGGAGGAACCACATCGACGTCAAACTGATAGGGTGTATTGCTAGGAGTGGGTCAGTTAGACTCTATTACTAACAATCCCTTTTCCCCCCAGAAATTACTACTTGTGTAACCATATCGCCCTCTGGTGATTATCTTGTATACTCGTAATTAATGATTAGGTTATTAAAATAATTATTACGCAAAAAAAGTAAAATCAAAGAAAATTAAGCATTATCCTGAGTTTATGTTAACCAACTACTAACACCTTTGCCTCTTTGTAGTAATAAAATATATATATATATATATATATATATATATATATATATATATATATATATATATATATATATATATATATATATATATATATATATATATATATACAATTATAAATAGGAAATATTTTATTGATTTATAATGGCCTACAGAAATATATTATCAGCGAGTAAACAAGCATAAAATATGCATGTACCCACCTGATGGAAAGTGGGAACCGTTGACACCTGTGTCCTCAGAAATGGCAACGCATGGGGTTATCATGGTTGAAACAATATACTCTGTTATGTCCATGGTACTGCTCATGTCTATAGGCGACGGTTACCACTTTCCATCAGATGGGCCATCAGCTTGTTTGCTATTCTAAGTTCTATAAAAAAAAAGAAAAAGTGTGTTCGTCTGTTACCTCTTAGAGCTGTCCTTTCCCATTCCATTATTATTCGTATATTGGTTACTTTTATCCCGGTCAGATCACGCGAAAAACGAATAAAAGCTCGTAAAAATATAAATCTCTCCTTCCCTGTAAAAATGCAATGTAATACATTGCACTCCTTTTCATCCAACCACCAATATATCATATACAACACAGGAGGAAAAATGATATAAAAATCTTTCCCAAATCGCCTGACAGTTTAGATAATGGTACGGTAATATCGTAAGAATAAATACATATGATAGGTTTCTACCTATCATATCGTGTCAGTGATGTATTTTCTTTCCTTTAAGCCCCGATTTTTGAGGGTAATCACAAATCTGTACTCAAGTATACTTACATAATATACTGATATTATACAGAGGAAAGATTTTTATTTTGTTTATTTGTAATGATTAACTCAATAACTACTGGGAGGAAGGAATTGTTAGCAATGGAGTTTGACAGCCCCATTGCTAGCAATATGCCCTATCAGGTCAACCTCCTCCTGGAAACCATCGTAAACAATTCTCATTGAATTCGTCACGATGGGCTAACTGACCTGTTTCATCCTCTATCCTGTATACCGATAGCGCGGGTGGGGTTACTATTTCATTAAAACCTATAAATAACTCAATAACTAGTCAACTTGTTTTAAATATTCTATCACATATAGAGAGCTATATTATTGGCAAGTGAAATAAGTTAGATATTATTTTCAAAACATAGATATTCCAACGAAATTTGCATTAATGCAGGCCAAAGCATCAAAATTTTGTCTATTAAAGCTAATATATGTAACATATTAAGTTATCGTCCTATCTACTTGTACGAAGTCGTAACCGATTACTTGTATTTATAATATATAATTAATGATATCAGGTAATAATATAGTCTATTCTATATAATATTCCTATATACAACATATCGGAACACCCAGCAAATTCCTTTTACTTTATAGAACCCCATATCAAACGATTACAAATCAAGAACACTGTAATTTAAATAAAAGCAAAAGCTTTTATTAAAAATATTTTAAAACAATAACACTTTGTAGTTTCCTTTAACATTTAATTTACTTTAATTTCTTGAAGAATGAAATTGTTTGACTGTATTAATAATTTCGCGGAACTCAGGTGACTTTTCATGAAACCCCTTAGATTCTGCGGAATCCACTTTTTGAATCGCTGGCCAACAGTATCTTACGCATTTTGTATGAAATGTCAACCATAGAATCTATATATGTATATAGAAAATTTATTTATATATTACATCATTTTATATAAAAAAAATATATATGAAAATATTTATAACATCATGTCAGTAATTATCTGTCCACTGCTGAACATAGGCCTCTCCCATAGACTGCCATAATGAACGGTGCCGAACCACTTGTATCCACTGACTCCCTTCAATCTATTTGAGGTCGTCACTTTATCTAGTGGGGTATCAAGGGAGTCGTCCTACACTGTGTTTGCTTGTACAAGGTCGTCCCTTAAAAGTCTTTCTTCACCATCGGTTGTGGGTTCTTTGTGCTTTGTGACAATATTTATTCTTCTATACCGTGTGTAATAAATATTAGAATCTGAATTCCAAACTTTTAAACGTAAATAATATGTTTATATTTGCTCAAATATTTGTTCAGAATAAGCGAATCGATTCCTTTGACATGATCAATTGAATGCTTCCGTTAGTTGAACAAAATGCTTTTATTGGAGTATCCTTTGATGCGAGTTCTATCAGCCTGATGAAATTTTAACCTGGCGATACTAGAGAGCTCCAACTAATAGATTTATAAGTCGATATAGTTAAGTTAGTCGGTTGCTCTTGTTTATTTAACTCCTAATAAATTTGTTACAAAAAGTATAGCAGCAAAAATAACTTAATAACCAGAAAAATATATCACTTTGTACAGTATAACAGATCTGTCTCTCTATCGAGTTGATATTGCCCCTTTCTGTCAATCGAATATGATAGTACAAAAAAATAATGCACAGTACATATCCAAACATTTGCATATGTATAAATCTAAAATCTTTGGTATCTTAGACTTTTTTTTTATACAACTTAGAATGGCAAACAAGCTGACGGCCCACCTGATAGAAAGTGGTAACCGTCGCCTATAGACATGAGCAGTACCATGAACATAACAGAGTACACTGTTTCGCCCATGATACCCCCATGCGTTGCCATTCCTGAGGACTCAGGTGTTATTCCTCTGTACCCAGTAAATTCACGCCATATCCCACCCTTCAAACCGAAACACAGTCATGCAAGCACAACTGCTTCACGGTTGAAACACGAATGGGACAGAGGTACCCAAGCAATCGACTTTTGTACAAAGTCTCCCTCTGGTATTTGGTATAGTGGTAGACGTTATAATTATGTATACTAGTGGTCGCCCAGTGGTCGAAATTCGATAATAATTTGAATTATAAGTTCTAACATTATTAAAGTTCTTATGTCAAAAACTATACTATACTATATATACATACATACATACATACATACATATCTGTCACGCCTGTCTCCCATTAGGGTAGGCAGAAACAATGGAACGCCAAATTCTTCGATTCAAACGAACCTCTTTCGCTTCTTCCACATTCATCAATCTTTTCATACACGCTCGCCGGTTACGGGTACTTTTAATTTGGCCCTTCTTCAGCACGTCGCCTATTTGGTCGACATACGTCCGTCTAGGGCGGCCCCCTACCGACATCTCCATTCATTTTTGCTCGATAAATCTCTTTCGTAATTCTTCTTTCATCCATCCTCTCCAAATGACCAAACCAAGGCAACATTATACATATATCTCATATATATCATATGTTTGGCATTCAGTAAGACTATAGATAAATAATATATTAATCTGTTCTCAATTTGACCACAGACTTTAACAATAAACAAAAGAGTATATATGTGTGCGTGTATCCAATACATGGCAGTTGTATAATTTCTTTTTTATTAATTTAATGTATTTTTTATGCGAAATTCCTCCATACGCGCAATTTTCGTAAATAGGGGTATAAAGTTTTTGATTCACGTATTAATATATAGATATAATAGTGACAGTTAGGGATATAATTATTTTTAGAAATTTTAATTTACTGTTTTGATTTGCTTAAAAAAAAGCAGAGATGACACTTAAAGTGGTTAGGTATCATAAACGAATACATGACAATGTTATTTTTGGGTGTATTAATGTGTTTGGAAATATCATGCACCTACGAAACGTGTTGTGAATAAAAACGAAGCAAGAGACATTCTATCCGAGTTTCCGTAATGATTATACAAGTATTCCACGTGTACACAATATGTATACAAATCTCAATACAATAACAATTTACTATTAGACTATATCTTATTTCTTACAAATACCTTTTTCAATAGAAATCATTACAAATATAAACAAACGCTTAGTTGATGAAACATGACTCAAACAATTTGCTGAAGTTTAATCATCATCATCATCATCTTCCTACCCTTATCCCTATCATTTGGGTCGGCGTAATATGATTTTATCCATATTACAAAAAGATTTGGTTTTTAATTTTACCCAACCCTCAACCCTCTTTGGGAAAGTTTAAGTTTAATATTAGTACAAATAGAAAAATAATTAATTGATTGAAATTTTCAATTTGTTATTAATTTCATTAATATATAATAATTTAAAGAATAATTTTCATTTAAAGAATGTTTATGTGATAATTCTAACAAAACTTTGTTTAATTTTACTAAGTTATTTTGAAACGGAATTTTAACAGTACTTTTAAGTTTATTACTCTATCACATTTTAATTAAACTGGTACACAGATTTATCAAACTGGTTGGAGGGAAGGGACTGTTAGTAATAGAGGTTAATAACCCCATTGCTAACAGTACATGCAGTTCCCTTTGGAAACCATCGTCGTTAATTCTGGTCAATTTTATCACGATGGGTTAACTGGCCTGCCTTCATGCTCAACTTCCATCTCTCACTAGTCCGTCAGCAGAGCATCAGCAACCAAAAGCGTAGGCGAGGGTTTAGATTTCATCCCATAATAAAAACCATTCTGGTTATCTTATGTATTAAACATAAGATAAATTTTATCGTTTAACAAGTGAGATAGATTGTACTAGAATAAATGAATGCATGGTACTCACTTTGAAAACAATTCAATATTGAAGAACACGTACTCTCCTGAAGAAACCATGTTGAGATCGTCGGCAGCTAGCATTATTTCCCTGACTGTGCTCGGATTCGCGCAGACCACGACAACTGTAACAAAAGTAAACTATTTAGAAAACAATTTTTGTTTTCAATTAATTTTTTTTTTAAATATTTTTGTCATAATACTCAGTAGTATTTTATATTAGAAATACGATTTATTTGAGTAATTTATTACTTAAGTAAACAATAAAAACTGTGTATAATAAATAAATACAAGATATTCAGTATAACAATAAAAAATTTAAAATTATTATTTTAAGATTTCTTACAACTAATGTAAATAAAATTTAATAAAATAAAAATATAAGCTCACAGTATACTTTCATTTAAAAAAGAATCCTTGCAAAAACAAATACTTATTTACCTCCGTCATTAATAATTCATTAGTTTATCTGGTTAAAAAAAAATTATAAATAAAATCATTGTAAGACGTCAGACCGTAAATGTTTACTGTAATTGTAATAAATAATAAGTACATATAACAAATTTACAAAAAATATACGACTACCAAATTTCTTTTATTTTCACTATATTTATATTATTGCTATAATCATGTATAATTGCTGCTGTTATGTGAAATCTATCGACACTTCATTAATTCAAATCCATCAAACATAATTTAGATAGTAGCGACATCTGTATTGCATACACACATACTCACACATACACACACATAGTATGTAATTTGCAAATTAATAATTTTATCATAATTATAATTTTAATAAGTTTTAATGTTACGTTTATTCTCGCAGTTTATATCGCTTTATTGTTATCTGTGTATTATAAACATTTGTTTTTTAACTATTTGTGTAGTCCAAGGAGATGGGGCACTGGTGGCTTGTAACACAGGTCTTTTCAAAACCTATTGCAGGAACCGATCTCTCCCAAAACTGTCCTGACATATTTAATTATACCTCAAGCTGATACTTTTTACTACCTTTTGTGAAAAGAAAAATAAATCATTAATTCATTAATTTAACAAAATATAAAGTCAACTTTATTGTTAAAAGTTTCGTAAGCATACGTTATATTTTAATATAACAACTACCGGTTTAACTAACGTGTAATTAGATTGAAAAAGCTAGCGACTAGTTCCGGAATCAATTCGTGATCCTTAGTCATGAGCGACTGTAACGCGAGCACGAACTTGATTGCGTGCCTCAGTCCTTTTTCGATTTAGTTACACGTAAGTTAAATCGGTAATTATTACATTAAAATATAAAGTTAAATTGTTCAACTCTATTTTTTTTATACTTTTGATGTCTGTTAAAGCATAAACAGCGATTGAGCAACGCATAATGTATCTTCTAAGGTAAATTGGTTGGCATATTTACATAGGCAAATAATTCCTCAGCGGGTGAAACGGCGAAGACAAGATCTGACGAGGGTTCCTCATTTAAAAATGTCCCTTCAACATTTTGGACTGAGATAAACTTAATGTCTTCTGAAATAGTATTATTCAAATAAGCTTGATTTGGGTCTTGACGAATCAATAAATGTTACAGTCACACCTTCTGTTTATTAATGTACTTGGAAGCATAAATAGTATCCTTTTAACAGTGTGTTTTTTTAATGAATGGTAATAGAATGGTAATCCCGCCTGAGTTCCGCTGTAAGTATACGCTGGCAGAGCACCAATGAGAAATAAGAAGTGAAGATAAAAGCAAGTCAGATGACTCATCTTTTTTTTTTATATAACTTTGATAGCAGTAATCGTTGCCTATAAACATGAACAGTACCATGGACATAACAGAGTATACTATTTCGCCCATGATACCCCCCATGCGTTGCCATTCCTGAGCACTCAGGTGTTATTCCTCTGTATCCAGTAAATTCACGCTATATCCCACCCTTCAAACCGAAACACAGCCACGCAAACACAACTGCTTCACGGTTGAAACACGAATGGGACAGAGGTACCCAAGCAATCGACTTTTGTACCAAGTCTCCCTCTGATGCTGATCATCGTGACGATTTCGTCTAAAATTTTCTGCCATGCAGCAGTTGTTTGCATGGCTGTATTTCAGTTTGAAGTGTGGGTTATGGAAATAAAATTACCTGATACAGAGGTATAATATCTTAGTCCTCAGGAATGGCAACGCATAAAATGTATCATGAGCGAGACAGTATACTCTGTTATGTCCACGATACTGTTCATGCCTATAGACGAAGATAACCAGTAATTACCAGCTTAAGAGACTTGTGTATGCTGTTATTCCATTGCCATATCCTGCAAACCGACACACAGCCATGCAATCCAATATTGCTTCACAGCAAAAATATGAGTGAGACAGATGTATTAAAGCAAAATGGATTTTGATGTTGATTAACATTCTTGATAGAATTAATTATATTATTAATACATACAATTTTTCAATATTTTTCTATTCTATTCCCGTAAGCTTAATTACCTTTGTTCACATTCATTTGTCAGTGAAAGTGTAATGCATTTGTTTAAGATGCAGTAATTTCAAACACTTGTAGTTAATGATAACAAAAATGACATTCAGTAAGTGGTATAAGGTGATGCAGTGTATTTATTTTCAGATCTCTCTTCAATACTTCGTATTAGATAGATCAGACCACGCAGAGATCCCGCTAGTGTGTTACGACACATGTAATGGTAACAACAACACAGTACACAACTACAGGGGGATAAGGGATTGTTAGTAATAGGGACTAATGGCCTCATTGCTAGCAAGCCCTGTCAGGTCGACCTCCACGCGGTTCCCCCTGGAAACCATCGTGATTAATACTTGTTGCATTCGTTACGATGGGCTAACTGACCTGCTTTCATGCTCATCTGTGATCCCTCACTGGTGCCCCGCCAGTGTATACCAATAGCGCAGGCGGGGGTTACTATGCCATTATCATCCATTAAAAAAACTACACAACTACAAACACATATAAATACATACAAATACAATGTACTTACTTATAAACAAGTTGTCAACTGAAAATTTTATTTATTTTTTATTTTGATCCTTATATCTTTGGAAATAATGTTCAACTTGACTATTAAAACACTTATAAAAGAATGCTAATCATTAAATTTCACCTCGTACTTACAGTTCCGAATATAATTTCCAAAAAAGTTATAAAGTAAACAAAAATTCAAGGTTAAATTGAATTGAACGATACCAGCCCCGCTAGTTAGCATAGTATGATATTACGTAAACGAAAAGTTACAACATCTCAACTTTGAATGTAAACAGGAATATGAAAGCAAAATGTTTGTTTGTTCGAGTTATTTTTTCTACAACTTTCAAAATTGGAAAGTTTACTCATCGTGAAAATTTATATTCATGGAATAAAATACGTAATTTGTCGTGTTGATGACGTTGATTATTGGTATTTGATGGAATTCTATTTTTAAAATTATAAACAAAATGTTTAATAACAATAAAATAAGCCAATATTGGTTCAAATGTCCATCTGCTTGAGTACCGCTATCATATTCATGTTTCTATCGTGAAGCAGTTGTATTAGCATGGCTGCGTTTCAGTTTGAAAGATGGGATATGGTAATAAAATTACATGATACAGGGGTATAACACCTTAATCCTTAGAAATAGCAACTCTAAAGAATAATGAACGACACAGGATATAGTATACTTTTGTATGTCTATGGTACTGTTCATGTCTATAGGCGACGATTACCACTGTATCCATCTTGTAGGTCGTCAGCTTATTTGCCATTCTGTTGCGTAAAAAAAAATGTAATACCATAACACTTATATTATACCACAATTTTATCTTTATTTTATTTACAATGTTATGTATGTGCGCGTGAGCATTTACATTTGTGTGTGTGCACATGACTACGTGTTTGTATTAATTCTGACATAAGCAAAATTCGTCAAGTATATTATTATGTTAAATATAAAGGCATGAAATAGTTCAAATGACATACAAATTTAATTCAAAAATCGAATATTTGATACATCTAAACTAATATATAGCTCATGCATTATTAAAAAGGTTGCTTAGAGATGAAATGAATACAAAAAATATTATAACATATATAAATTTTTTCAGTAACGTAAATGTATGTATCAAATAATAGGTAAGGGCATATTGCATTACCCAGAATGATATCATAAGAAGCGACTAGGGGGGAAAAAGCATGATCAATCTTCATACGTATATAAAGAGAAGAAAAACTCGAAACGAAGTACTAATAGTAGCTTAGTCCTTCTCTTACAGGGGAAGAAAATAAGTAGAAACATATTACACCTCTATTCGTACTCTGTTCAATTTTTATTTCACTAAAAGGAAATTTGCTATTATCCCTTCGTTGTATTTTCCTTTAAATAAACAATGTAATTAAGTTTACACAATCTAAACGGAATTGATATTTATTAACATAACATTTTATTGAAATATTCCAAATTTATCATGATATTAGAAAATTATTTAATATTAACATTGGAATTCTGAGAATAATAAACCTAAACCATGTAAATTTAGTAGGTATATAATAATATAGAATCATTATATAATCGTGTTTATTTAGGCTAAAATTTCTAATCCAAGGCATGTGAGTTGACTGCTTTCAATTTATAATACTAATTATTATATTATTCAAAGAAAATCCATGTAGGATTATATAAAATCCAATTTCATACATACGGTGATAATTATATCAAACTTAACACAATTTGAGAGGACACTGTTTAATCATGTCGAAGCAATTTATGAGGACTATCATGAATTTTTAATCCTACTCTTATTAATCTATACTTATAATAAATCTGTAGAGAGGTCAATTCTGTACATGAAATATATTTCCAAAATAACTATCAGGGGGTGATTAGTGATCGCTACTGATGCCAAAAATGCAATCAGTATAATTTTTGTCTATCTGTCTGTCTGTATGTTCGTTATAGAAACAAAAACTACTCGATAGATTTTAACGAAACTTGGTACAATTATTCTTCATATTTCTGGGCAGGTTTTAGTATACTTTTCATCACGCTACGATCAATAGTAGCAAAGCAGTGAAGGGAAATGTGTCTGTTACATCAAAACCACTGAACCGTGAGGAAGGACATAGGCTACTTATTTTACGAAAAACGACGGAAACGCGGACGAAGTCGCTGGCAATAGTTAGTTTCTTATAAATGTGAAAGTTTATTAAAGATTGAATGTTTGTTACTCTGTGATTCTTATACGACTGAACGAATTTGAATGGAATTAATCATCATCAGCCTTTACATGTCCACTGCTGAACATAAGCCTCCCTTTTGGGGGGTTTTGCTAGTATTTTCCACACTTGGCAGGCGAATTGGCAACCGCAGTTAGAGTTTAGAGATGTTTTAAGAGGGACGCTGCTGTCCATCCCTCGTCCTACCTTAGTCGCCTCTCACGACACCCACGTTAAACGAAGGGATGGCCTATTCTACGCCGGGACCACATAGGACTAAAAGCTTTACACCTACTTAATATTTTGCTTTGTAATTATTTAAATATATTTTTGACATTAAAAATCTAAACTTTCAGTAACAGCTTAATAAGAATATTATTGCATTAACAAATAAAACGCAGTCAGAAATATAAAAAAAATGTTTAAATTGTTTTCGAAAATTGACAAATAATTGCGACAGATGTTGTCACACTTCGGTAAGCTAAAATTACGAAAGCTATTAACGTATATAACGGGTCTTAATGAACTCACTGTGTGAGTCGCTTTCGACAATTGTTTCGACTACAAAATTAACGTCAGTTATAAAAATATATCGATTTTTTAATGTATCTTAAAATGGCTAACAAGCTGACGGCCCACCTGATGGATAGCAGTAATCGTTGCCTATAAACATGAACAGTACCATGGACATAACCGAGTATACTATTTTACCCATGATACCCTCCATACGTTGCCTTTCCTGAGGACTCAGGTGTTATTCCTCTGTACCTTGTAAATTCACTACCATATCCCACTCTTCAAACCGTAACACAGCCATGCAAACACAACTGCTTCACGGTATAAACACGAATGGGACAGAGGTGACCAAGCAAACGACTTTTGTACAAGTGGTAATTGATAAAGATATTTAGATTATTGTGTGTATGTATATTCAATCATGCATAAATACTTGCACATATTTGATTAAGATTTGATACACTGACACATCCTAACCTGAATTAACACAGGATATATTTTGTTCTAATTCAAACAGATAAAGCCACGTGATAAAGCTAGTATAATAATATTTAAGCAGAGTAATTCACACACGAGTACACGAGGCAAAAAATCAAGGATCTTTCCTAATATAAGTCCAAAGTAAAGTAGTCAAAGTGCCCTGAAATATAGTCAACTTTTAATAAGCACTCTCACACTAACGACAGACTACTGCTTTAAGCATCGCTTGTTGGCACCACTAGAGTCGAAGTTATGGATAATGTATCTAGGCACTTATGTTACCTAAAATGTAGTTATTCCTTATAGAATAATGTATGTACAAAAGTTGCAACAATGTTATGCAATACCGATATGACCAGAAACAAAGTGAGGTCATGTATAATAATTGTAAATACCACATGATCACTTCCACTGCCTGATCATCATCCTACGATATTTTATATAATGAGACAGAATGAATATCTAGGGGTATAATCCAGAATACATAGATTCGTGCTATATTAGTAAAGTTAATTTTGTAAATTGACTTGTTTGACAAATTTGAGGTCTCATTCTCGTTAAATAGCGTAGGTGCGTTTTACCATCCGCTCTTGTCACAGCTGCTCACGATTAAAGGTCTCGGATGATTCTAAAACTAGTAATTTTCGCCTAAAGTACAAATCAGTCCGGTTGTTCTTACAATGAAAATATATTATATTATGTACTTTATAACTATTATTTTTATATTTTAATATATATGTTATATTAAAATTACCACTAATTGGCATTACCAATTAGTGGTAATTTTTTTCTTGGAAACATTTGCTATTTAAAATAATACTAGTTAATAAACTCGTAATCCTAACGTCATAATGACGTTAGAACTATTTAGAATAAATAAACATATTGACCACTAAAATGCTTCCTCATAGTTGTATTTTAATTATTTTGAGTAAATAAACCGTAAAAGAATCGAGAAATGAAAGTCACGTTTTAAATCAGGCGGTAATTTGAATATAGATGAATCTAAAAAGTTGAATTGATCAAAGAAAAGGCAGTAGAAATATATAAAGGAAGATTTCTTTAAAAATAAAACTCGAAAACTAGATCGAGTTCAATGGAAAGAGAAAACATACGACGCTGAGCGTAAATAATGAGACAAAGTTGAGTTGGGTTGACGTCATCAGTGTAGGTATACAAATAATACAACTGGTGCTTCATAACGTAGACTAGATATATTTTTCATCTATACATATGAAGCTACTGTTGCAATCTAAAAGGAAATGAAAGTATTTCTACAAGATGTTTCAATATTAACGATGAAGATGTTCAACGATGTCTATTGTCAATTAAAGACTAGTCTAATGTACCTGACACTTAATCAAAGTAGTCTGTTAACACAGGATACACTATTAGAAACCAGGCACATACTAAGCCTAGCCAATCGAAATATGTTAATATCATAAAATTGTATTGGCGATAAATTCGATATCTTATTAACAAATCGCAATATTCTTGCAGTATAAAATATTTTAAGATATAAAGACAAAATAGGGCATTCAGTTTAATACACACGTTGTGGTATTAAACTGAATGAAACAAGTTCTTAATAAAATCTAAAGGGCACCTAAATATTTTGAGGGCATATTAAATATTCAATACAATTTCTTAACCGGAATCTCTTTATTTCATACTCACTTCTGGTGTTTAAAGACAATTTTTGAAGAAGTTGCTTCAGCTTGGTTGTTGTGGTGTTCGTTTCGTCGAATGGAATATTAGGAATAGTAGCTCCAGATCCTTTAGTCTTTAGAACTGTGAATACAGCACTAAGAGTTAAAAAGCAGGGACTGTTGCCTTGTCCAGTTGTAGGGTCGTTGTTGTGGTAAAGCATGCCGAGCTTTCGCCAGTTGAATTCCTGTAACAATATTTCAAAGATTGGTCAAAGAGAAAAAACTGTACAATTTATATCATCATATCAGGTATTACACGAAGAAAACATACAGATTTCAGTGCCAATGACCTCATTTTTACCTACATCTTTAATTTAATTTAATTTTATAATTCACCTCATGCATGCAAGCCTAATTTGGAGGTCCGTGACTTATTCTTTTTAATGTCAAATAATCATGAAGTTGTTTTTTTTTCTAAAATTAAACAAAGGATATTAACATTAAAGCTCTGCATGATAAATCTGACCAGTGATAGAAAGATGAGTAAAAAAATTTTTCGCGTCTTCACCATAAAGTGCATAAAGCATTTTTACAATTATTACTAGGAAAAGAAAACTAACTCACGACCCATCTTAATCAAGTTAACACCTTCTATAGATCTGAACAACACTATGAACTTAGCATAGTAAACTGTTCTCATAAGTTGTTACTCCTACTTTTACTACTCTTAAGAATCCATCTATAAATATGTTTTTGCTGCCATGATCACATCTTTTATTATTTTTCTTTCTCATGCAAGTAGTGTCGAAATCGTATCTATCAATAGAAACATTTACAACTTGTCTAAGAAGACTGATGATTCTGAGGTTTGTCTCAGTTCACGAATTTATCAATTATAAACAATGGAGGTGGCTTCCTGCTGCTTTGCCTCTCATTCTTATAGCGAGGTTACATTTACCAATATATACAAAATTTATAAAGTATTTGAAACGTATTGAAAACAACAAAACAATACAACTCAGACGATACAATATTAGCTTATAATGATAAACATAGAAAGCATAGATAATTCGAAAATAAGAATTGAAAAAACAGTTATTTTATTATTAAAGACGATTTAAGTAACTTATTAACTAGACTCTTTTTTAAACAACCAATAACAAAACATAGTTATGTCAATTTTTTTTATTAAACTACAAACAAAAAAATATCAAAATATATCAACTTTTTGCGAAATACATACTACATACATACATACACAATACATAGATAAACAAGTTTATTAGAAGCTTAAATGTAATAGTGTAAGCACTGACAGTATAAAACATTCTTGATGACATTTTCATTCATACATATCGCAGAATTGCTATATATGTTTGACGGAAAAAAATATAGTATAAATATATAAGGCTAGCTTCAATCTTCGGTCGTTAATAATATACGACGAAAAGTCAATAAATTCAATTGCATACAATTTATTACTCTCGGTCACACTGCATTACAAAATCTATCATTGTATCACAGAATGCGCTTGACGTCTTTTTATGTTACTTCTTCATTTTCGCAAATATTCATGACTGATACATTACTTATTTCTTCAATTTCAATTCTTTTTAATTCTTAAGTAATATTGTTAAGTAAAATTCTAACTGTTAATTTTATTCCTCTCAATTTTATACTTATGTCGATAAAACAATTACTTGTTTTATAAAATTTAATATTATTTTATTTATAATGTGTTTACCTCGGAAACCAGAACCAATAAAATTGAAAAGCAGTACCGTCAAAGCTATATCTGAAATGGTTTCATTTGCAATATTGCCGAGTACAGGGACACTCATAAATATCCAGGTTATGATGGTAAACCGTTATTTCTAACTGTACCTACATAAGGACAAGAAGGAAATTGTTATATAAAAATTATTCCATGAACGAGTTTCGAATTCGAAATAAATCTGGACATAAAACTCAATGTAAGGAATTGACTATATTAATTTCATTTAGAGTCACAAAATTGTTATCATAACTTTTTCCTATTCTCGTATTTCAAGAATAGAAGATAAAGTACTCTTATAAGTACGTAGTTACGTCAAATAAAAATGTATCAAAATATTTTTTCTTTAATTTACTTTACCTACTGGCAGTGTTCTCTTAAAATGTTAAATGTTAAAATTCCTTCCTTATCTCTCCCCTTCTGTTTTCAAAACATTGATAGTTTCGGTTTAGTAATAATGAGGTAATTAGCTACGCAACTCTTTATAATATAAGTATACAGCTTCTTAAGATAAGATAACCCCAAAAGATAAGCAAACATGTTAATATTTTAGATGAAGCGATTTCCATATTATTTTGGTAGCTCTCAAAATTTATCGGGCCCTTGTAAAATTAGAAATTTTTCACGACCGTTAATGGCTCTATTTAAATTCCAAAGCACGGTGTATATCTTTCTCAAGCTTTATTTACCTTAAAATATTTATATATAAGGATGAAATATTGTATATACGAGTAACTTTCAAGTCAATTTACATTGTCTAAATTAAACGAAATTGCTAAACATATGAAAATGTGACGACATACTTGTATTACGATGTCTAAAAGCTACTCCGAGGATGGAGTTTAAAACAAAGATACACAGAGAATTATTGCTGCAGTTAATGTAGATACAATGAGTTGGCTTGATATTGACGATCAAAAGCTTAAGGTCATTGCATAAGATAATTAAATATTATAATATGTACTCATATTATATTATTTTTTATTCAAATTAGATACAACTATTTTAATAGCTAAAACTATATATTATTGTAAGATAGAAACAAAATCGTTTTGTGTAGAAATAGAGAAATTGTCTTCCTAATTATATTATTAAAATAAAAATAAATTTTAAATTGATATAAGTAAAAGCCAATTAAAAACAAAGATTTCCTACTATAAAAAATAGCTAAACTAAGTAAAGACTTACTTAGGAAAGTAATTATTGATATTAATTGCATTTTTAGCATTATATTGTATTTGTTAAATTTATTTAATAGCTTAAAAATCAGAATTGTGCTATGTTAGTATATAAAATAAAGGAACAAGTTTAAAATTATAATGTTATAAATAAAGTCTCTTTGTATTTCAAAAATAAATATTAAAAATGTAACATTTGAATCTCTTTCTTTTACGTGAATCAATAACGTGGATGAATTAAATAATTACTTGAAAGATTACAAATGCAAGTACATATCACACTGTTTGAATTAAGTAATGGAACAATATTACCGCATAAAATATCTTCTATTATTGCAAATTAAATCTGTTTAAGGTTACGAACACCAATTTATTTAACTAGAACATTTATCAGTCAAATCACGTTTCACATCAAGACGTAATATTATCGGCGAGTGCCCTCAGAAGTTTTTGGTCTATGACGACGAAGGTAGTAATGACGATCGTGCCTGATCCATACAATCATGTATGATGTTTACGTTTTGCTACAATTCATTAATATGTAATAACGTTCCATACGAGTTTTGATTCCTGAGTAGAATTCAAAGTATGTAGCGCAATCTTCGAGGATGAGTGTACTCGAAAATTATATTCGTGTTTCCGATTTAAATCAGTCTGATTAAGTGTTTACACATTGTCGAAATATATTGATTTAATGATGTATATATTTGGACGCAAGTAATCTTTATATTCTCAGTTCATTATAAACAAACAAGTCTATTTACAAACATTTAGTAAAAAAAATAAGCTTTTAAAATGTACATCGTTATCTTGAACCGACGGTCATTTTAAATTTAGTCTATCTTTTATTTGATATCCATAGTTGAAAAAAAAAAAAACACGATCCGCCATCTTGAGATGGTGGCTATTTTAAAAGTATTATAATGTTAACTATTACATACTATATTGTCATCAAAACTAAAGATATATGCAAAATTTTAGCACAATTGGGTGACAAGAAGTGGTTCTAAATTAACTTACAAGATTTGTCCTAAACAAACGAAATAATCAACATACATTGCAAGTTAAATAGAAGCTTGTAAATATCAAGCATAAAGCACATTACAATGCTGGAATATATGAAGAAAACATAAAAACGTGTATAATAGAAAACTTAACAGGAGAAATTACACAAATATGAGAAATAGATATTTAATAAGATCCAGTAGCAACTACACATAATAACTAGATTTCCTTATTCACAGGAAGGAAAGGAGGAAATTGATGGCAATAGAATCTTATTAATGTTGCTGGTAGTGAATCGTCTTTATTTTGGTAATCTATTGAATCCTCTTTAGGAATATTCATATAATATTATATATATATATATATATATATATATAAACTTACCTATGATAAATATGAACTTACCTATATAGGTAAGTTCATATTTATCTATGTTCATAATTGTACACTGTATATATTTTCGAACCGTTTTATACTTTCCTAATGAATATTTCTTATACAAATTGTAAATTAATGATAATTCTTTACTACTAGTAGGTCGCACAGACTTTTTTTTCAATGTTATAAGTATTCGAATACGAATTAAAAACCATATCTCATTTGCACAAAAAGTTATTACGTCAAGTGAGGACCGGTGAACGCGACGCCTTAAGAATTTTTATTTAATTTAACATTCTTCAAGTTTCATTACAAATTCGAGTCTCGTAAAACGATTACAATCAAATTTAAATTCTTATTTGACTCTATTATTTGAATATTTTAAAAGAAATCCAAGACTTTCAAAAGGAGTTGTAGTTATCGAAAAGGCATAGGTGAAAATAAAACCAAAATAATTTTAAGCAAATAACAATACAATTGCTGACATAACAAAACACAAATATACATATATACAGTACAACATTTAATACACGGAAATTGTGAATTACCTCGAAAACTTTCCGAATAGCAACACCGGCCTGGATGTAGCTTCCCATCATTCTAGTTAAGGTCATGTAACTGGGGTGCTTATAGCTAAAGGCCTCAGCTTGTGCACCAGCCGTAAGTACTGGAATACCCCATGGACCCGCATAACGAGCTACGGGAGCTATCACGTACTCGCATCCCGGTCCGATGAAGGCATCTGAAAATTATGTAATTATTGAGGTATGGATTTTGTCTTAAACTGATACATTGTAATACATTTGTTAGCAACCACGGCACAAACAAGCAGAAAATTTTCCATACACCTCATTGTTATTGTTTAATAATTATTGAATTTAAACATAACTGTTTAAAATTCAATTATTCACCTTGTTCAAATTGAAAATAGCTTTTGTACTCGTATGTTTAATAATACCTATGAATAACGACAACAGAAACTAAATATTTTCAATACCTATTTATAGTCATTGCCGTTACAATTTATACATCTGAATTTTAAACGAATAAATATTAAATTTCATAATTATGTGATATATTACATATATTTATCATTATCATCATCATATCAGCCATTAACTGTCCACCGCTGAACATAAGCCTCCCCACTTTGAAGGTTTTTCTAGTAGTTGCCACGCTTGGCAAGCAGATTGGCAATCGCAGTTGGGAATTGGTGGTGTTTTAAAAGGAACGCTACTGCCCTTCTTTCGACTACTAAATTCTCAAATATATAATAAGAAAGTATAATATTAACTGATTTTTTTTAATAAATAATAGTAATATAATAATACACAGTATGTTGAAAACTCACCGGCGGATTCATTTATATAGAATTCAAATGCAGCTAGTGGTCCTTCCACAGATGAACATCCTGTGTCTCTATAATCTACTAGAATTTTCCATCCAGGCAAAGGTCCATCGGGTTTAGTTACCGCTGGCACAGCCATTTCTAAGATAGGCAACACCTTCGCCAAAGAAAACACTTGTCTTGGGTCAGCTGGTAATAATACACCCAATTTCACAATTTTTTGATGAAACTGATGTCTCTCAGGCCTCAAATTGAAATTGGTTTTCTTAACGTTGTATGCAGAATATGCTAATTCATGTGGAACTCCCACAGAGTCCTTGTAAAAAAATTTCGACATATCGGAACTGTATGGGAATTCAGTAACATTAGTAAGTTGATCATTATGTTTGAAATAATCGTAATATTTTGCGCCAGAGTATTTATCGAGTTTTTCTTGAGTATCTGTTTCTCTTTGTGGAGTGCGTTCTTTTCTAAGATTTCTGCTGTGCAAATCATGTTTATGTCCACGTTTTACTTTATCTCTAGAAAATGAATGTGCGCCGTATGTTGCTTGATTTTCATTGAACGTCTTTATATTTACATCATTAACACTAAGATCACACGTAATTATCACATTTATAACACATACATAGAAAATAAGGAATGATAATAATAATGGGATTTTTACTATTTTTACTGGTTTGTTGTTTCTTTTAATCTGGTGTGTTTTAGCATTGTCCACAACTTCACGTCGTTTTTCGACAGCATCTTGTGCATTTTTATCTTCTTTAACTTGTGTTGTGTCCGAATTTGAAATAGTTTCTTCATTGTCAAACGTCTTTGTTGAATTTATCGGGAGGATCGTGTGAACGACCTCCTCTACCATTTTATCTTACACGAGTTTCATTTTAGTAGGTCTTTCACTACACCGCAGTTTTTCATCTATCTAAAAAGTTTTTTTTTTTTTTTTTATAATAAACGAAAGCGATAATCGTTTCTTCTTAATATTTTATATCAACTGAATCGTAAGTAAATTATTCCATTTTGTACGCAATAGTGTTTAAACAACAAAAGAATTACGATTGTTCATTTGAGTTCGATACAAAAAAAAGTCAATTCTAAAAATAATCTAATTGTATCTGACTTAAAGATAATATTTATTTAAAAACGCATAACACTACAATGTATAATATTTAAGACGTAAATGCCTCCAACTTGCTGGAGTTTCATCGGATAATAACAGAGTGTTTATGTTCAGATATTTAAGATATAAATTTTATTTCTATTATTGTTGTATGGTGGTATTTTAATCTTATTAATATTATTCCTTTTAATTGTAATTGTAAAGTATGTATTACTGTACTTATGCTTTCTTGAGTAAGCGCATTGGGAGACTGTAAAGCTCCCAATCTAAACAAACCAAGCGGTTGATCAAATAAATAAATAAATAAATAAATATATTATGATTATTTCTAAAGAAACATGACATATCAAAATAAATTATTGCTGATACTGATTTTCTGCATTTTATTTGCTCTTACACTATATATATATATATAGCCATTTGGTTTTAAAATTACTTTATAAAAAACAATTTGTCCATTTGCCTTTATTTTTTATGTACTTTATTTGTTTCACTATAATTCCAATTATATAAGTTCATCCATTCGGATATCTAATTCTTTTTATAATATTTTTTTTTATTAATCAAATAAAAATAAGCTAAGCTCTATCTTCAATTTTAATGATTCTAGTTTGCTTTTTATATAGCAATAAATATTTTAATATTCTTTTAAATATATAATTTTGCAACGATGTTTTAAGATCATTAAAAACCAATCATACTTGATATATAATACTATAATTATACCATAATAACCCACTGTCTTCCCACACAAATCTGTCTCCATAAGAAAGAGCCTATTATTACAAAGCAATCCAGACGAAATACGAGTTATATTTCAAATTTTCATTCTCTTTTACACACAGATAGTATTTACAGACTATTCGAATGTTACAAGGCCAAAGTTTCTTATTTGAAAAATTGATAAATATCAGTAGTAGATTTTACTCTATTATTACTATTTATTGAGTTACAAATGGTGCATATAAAAAGACTATTTTGTACGACAATCCCTAGTCACTTAATGCCTAAAACGATTAACTCCAAATATAGTAGTTTTTCACTTTAAATTCGCAACTTCTATATCCACACATTTATTTTACACGCACACTAATGTAAATAGGTTTATGTGTCGCCTGTGATTTTATTTTCAGTTTAGCAGTATGTCAGTATGTACTAAGTCTAGTATATACGATATTATCTGTGATTGTACTAAGGTAAATTAATCCGGATACAAGCGGTAAACTCGCCCCTGGGTAGCGATATTGTGCACGTGCTGCATTTACCACAATGGCAACAGTCATCAAATATCTGTCACTACCACATAAAAAAATATATTCACCATTACAAAAATACATGTCATCTTATTATTACATTTTTTTATGGCAAACAAACTGACTGCCCACCTGATGGAAAGTGGTAACTGTCGCCTATAGAAATGAGCAGTACAATGGACATAACAGAAAATACTGTTTTATCCATGATACCCCCATTACATCCATAATGCGTTGCCATTCCTGAAGCCTATAGGGTTATGCTTCTGTACCCTACTGTAATTTCAACTGTAAATTCATTGACATATCCCACCCTTCAATGCGAAATACTACCATGCATATACAACTGATTCACGGTAAATCATGAATGGGACAGATGTATCCAAGCAAAAACTTTTGTATTAAGTTTCCCTCTGGTAAATAACGTCAGTTAAAAACCGATTTGGAAAATTATTTTTTATTTTTTTTTATCTAAAAGAATATACTTACAAACTGATACCAGAATAGAAATTTGATCCAAATCGGTTCAATAATTGAGTTTTTTTTATCAAGATAATTGATTTTTTTTAACTCGAAAAAATTTAAATATAAAAACTGTACTCTTTCTTACGTTTTTTTTTTTTTGTTGTTGTTGCTGTATAAAGAATCTGTACTATATATTTAATTAGAATACCATATGCTATGAAGAACAATGAAGGTCAGGAGACAAAATCAATTCCAGGAATTATGTCCGAAAATGGCACAAATGACCCATTGTCGACCCTTTTAGCAGTTTCTATATATGTAACGTCATTACGGAAGGTAATTCTATTGAACTTGAACTAGGTGGCCTTAATTTGGTTAGACACATGTGTTTACAGCGGATAATAGTGTTAATTGCAATAAGTAAATCAAAAAGAGACTCTATCGTTATAAACTTATGAATGAAAATAATTAGTACAGCACAACTGTAGTTATTAGCATTCGTTACAACCTTCGATACCTAGATATATAGTAAGTAGAAGAATCTCAGAAAATAGTTTTTTTTTTTTGATGGGTGAAAATGGTATAGTAACCCCGCCTGCGCTAACGGGATACGCTGGCGGAGCACCAGTGAAGGGTGATAGATGAGAATGAAAACAGGCCAGTTAGCCCATCATGATGAATTCATCAGGAATTAACCATGATAGTTTCCAGGGGGATCCGCGAGGAGGTCGATCTGGTTGAGTATATTGCTAACAATGGGATTCTCAGTCTCCATTACTAACAATCCCTTCCCCCCCCCCCTTAGAAAATAGTTGATACCACATCATACTATATTACCCATTAAATGTCACGGTGCCAACTTATTAGTTATTGGCGTTATTATAGTAACTATCGTTTATAGATATATACCGTATGATCCTTTATATAGAACAGGCCACACCTTCCTTTCCCGTGGGTGTCGTGAGAAGCTGCTAAGGGAACTTAATGGTGGAGGAATGGACAGCAACGTCCCTCTTAAAACATCTCTAAAAGCCTAACTGCGGTTGACAATTCGCCTGCCAAGCATGGCATAACTATTGGCAATATTCCCCTTATGGGAAAGGCTTATATTTAGCAATGAACTATTTACGATTGACATGAAAAAAATGACACTACAATATCACACTTTAAACTTTAACACATATGACATGTCTCATATGAGTTTAAGTAGAAGACATAACCAGATAATACCAGACAGAATTTTTGTACAAAATTTCTGTCTGGTATTATATATTTTTTTCCAAACATCAAGCCAGTATTTCAATTGAAAGACATTTCAATAAACATGCAGTGTATTTATCCAAAATATAATTACCTACAATTTCAGTTACTGAAATCCGCATTCGAATTATTTTATTTAGCTCCACTACTATTTTGTTTATTCGTTAAAACAACACGTAACTCAATAAAACAATATACAATTTTGCTTAATTTCGTTTCATAATCGTGAGTGTATTTCATAACAATTAGTGAAACAGTATTCAGTCAAACACTATTTTCGTCGAAACATATGCGCATAATGTGTGTACAGTATGCGCATATTATTATAATACTACAGTACAATGGCGATGGTAACACGCTGTGTATATTTTTCCATCGAATAAGAATAATGCTTTGAATCCGTTCATCGATATTTTTCCAAGTTTTCAAACTTTTTTTTATGCAAATTAGCATGGCAAACAAGCTGAACGCCCACCTGATGGAAAATGGTAATCGTCGACTATAGACACAAGCAGTATCATCGACATAACAGAGTATACTGTTTTGCCTATAATACTCTCTCTACCCCTATAGATTGATACATTTCTGTTACTCCACGCATTATTATAATAAAATCCAATGTATTATAATTTTATAATGTAAGATGATATTTCACAACAAGAAACAACTTCAATTGTTGCAAGACGAGTTATTTTGATTAAAAAAGGAAGTTTTATAATTGTTTTTTACTTTATTATCATGTAAATACATACAAAAATCATAAGCATTTTTAGTACCACTTAAACCTCTCGAACTTGTATGTGGCACTTTATATTTCGTTGCTCTGTAGTAAACAGTAGCTTAGTTTTAATGATGATTAAAGATTGTGTCCCACAATAAAACATAGACATCAATTGGGGCAAAACCAACTAAAAATTAAACTACTAGACCGATTTTGATAAAATTTCTATGAGACTAATCTTTTAATATCCTTTCGGACAAAAAAAGTATTTTTCAAGTCGTTTTAGAACTGACGGTGTTATTAATTACAAACATAAAAAAATAACCGTATTGAATACCTCCTTCTTTTCAAAATAGATTGAAAAAAACTGTTTTTGTCACAATTGGATTAATTTTTTTAGTAAAATATAATACAGAGGAAGACTTTGTACAAAAGTCGATTGCTTGGGTACCTCTGTCCCATTCGTGTTTGTACCGTGAAGCAGTTGTTTGCATGGCTGTGTTTCGGTTTGAAGGGTGGGATATGGCATGAATTTACAGGGTACAGAGGAATTACATCTGAGTCCTCATGGGCGAAACAGTATACTCTGCTATGTCCATGGTACTGCTCATGTCTATAGGCGACGATTACTGGGTTTTATGTTTGCGTTGTGTGGGTAACGAATCTGTTACCGTAGGCAAGTGAAACAGCATCTTAAATCACTACAACCAAGGTCTACAACCAAATATTAATCTATATAACATTATTCTATTTTAATAACATTAACATAAAGTGATATTTTTAAAGCAAATTTAAATATCCAGCCGTGTTAGCACGCCACGATGAAAAATGTTATTAAAAAATTTTCCCTTTTTAATAGGATCGTGACTGAAAGACTTCTGTGAATATTTTAATATCTTTTTATTTTACTGGTCTAATTGTCAATGCTCGACAATTTATTCCGATTGGGTATTTTTCATGCAATTTTAGGTAAAAGATATTGTTTTCGGGAAATTATGGAGAATTGAAATTGTTAGAAAAAATTTATGAGAGTAGAGAAATTTAGTTAACATTTTTAACATTTATAAATATATATAGTATCATCATATCAGCCTTTAACTGTC